TCTCCAATGTGGAGATGGTGGGTGCCTAAGGGCAGATATTGACACAATCTTGAGTGCCTGCATCACTTGTGCCCTGTTTTCTAACCCCTGCTGGAGGCAGGTCTGTCATCTGCACAGGTTCTAGGCCCTGTCCCACCTGTTTTCAGTAATCTGTCTTCAAATGAGTAATACCAGTTCCCATCATCTTAGAAGCCTGTACCTCTGCAGGGGGCTTTCTGACAGGAAATGAAAGTCTGCCTGGCTTCAGGGGTAGTGTCTTGTTCTTAATGTGAATGTGCCTCCACCAAGCCAAAATGCTGTTCTATAGCTGAAGCTGTGGCAGAATGGGGAAAAATAAAATGCTTTCAAATTGATTACAATAAAAAATTTGGAAGGAACGTGGAAATCTTACCGGTAGTTGAGGCTTTTCAAGGCTTTTTGTCTCTTCTACTTTCCTAGTCTTTTGATAACTTGAACTGGAAAACTAGTGTGCCCTGTGATCTTGCAGGAATTTCACAGGTCTGTGCTCTCAACTTAATCTCTCCCAACACATTGTGTGTTTAATAGCTTTTTTCAGATGAAGGTAGCTGGTTGCCCCAAGAGTAGCAGGAGTTGCCCCACCCCAGTGCACCAGCATAAGCTGGTCAAGTGCATTTTAACAGAACATTAATACATGTTCATACAGCAGATAAGAAGCAAATTTCATGGCTGTGCTGCTGGTGGTAACAGTGAATGGCTCAAACTGCTTCAGTAGGCTGGGGTAAAGGTGGTGTTTAGAGGAATACTAGGTCCTTGTCTTTGAGTGCTGAAAGATGTGGGTATATCAAGGTGCCTTGTGGGTGGAGGAGGAATAACGAGTCTTAGGTCTCTTCCTTTGTGTGTATTTGGGGAGTCTTGAAATCTGAAGACGTGAGCAGAGTAACTAAGTAGAGGGGGAACAGTGAAGAGATATCCAGTATTTCTGAGGCACTAGATGAAAGTTCCTGATACCTCTAGGTCTAATATGGCAGCAACTTATGGAAAGCTGTTTCAAAGAGGAAAACCAAGGCAAAACCCTCCCCAACCAACAAAAAAAACCCAAACAAAGGAGTAATAAGGGGGATGAAAATGTGCTGCTCCCTCCCCCCCATAAAAAAACACAACACAACAATAAAAAACCCCACAAAACAAGGGAGGGGGGGAGTGGAATTCCTAACTCCTGTGACATTGTTCTGTACCGAACAAGGAAACTGTCCAGTTCAAGCTTTGCCTCTGTAGAGGCAAAGCAACAAGTGTGTTGTGGTGTTTGTTTAGTTGGTTGATTGTTTTTGTTTTTTTGGTCCTGTCTGTGTCTTTCCTGTTCCTCCGCTTTCCTTTAGTATTAGGCTGTGGCTATTGCTAACACCCCTTTAAAGACAGACATAAAAATGTCTGGGGGAACATGTTGTGAGGCATCAACCAGCCTGCCCTTTTGTCTGGGAATGGGAAGAGGCTGAACGAGAAGGCTTCCCTTTTGAAAAGGTAAGCTTAAACACAAATACATTCTTACCTACCGAAAGCCAAGTCAGGTTGAAGGTATGGAGATACCTGTCTCAACAGCTATTTTTAAGTAACTGCCTTATTTCCCAAATGTACAACTGAGAGAAGGGTAAAGTGGAAAAGAAAATTAGTTTTTATAGAGCCCTCTTAGCTGCTACCTGCTTTTAACTGCCCTGGATGGTGGAATCCTACAGGAAGGGAAAATAGGGTTTTTTTAGGCTTTGGTCCTAATAAGGAAAAATACTGCAAGAAATTAGCAGCAGAAATTGTGGGGAAATAGCTAACTGTATGTGACAATACTTTTGTGGCACTTAACTTGGGAGCTGGGCAGTACAGACTCCTCCATAGCTCTGTGTGTTCTGTTCTTTGGTTCTCTTCTATTCCCATGGCCTCTTGTAGCTGCTTTGTGTGGTGGATGAGGTGAAATATTGAGAGTATTTAGTGTAATAGTTTGTGATAAATCTGTACACAATCTTTGCTAAAGTAAAACTTAAGTTTTCAGAGAAGTCAGCCACCTTAACTGTTACTTTGTAGTGAGTTACTGCAATGGGTCATAGGAGTATAACCAGAATTTAGTCTGTTTTAGGAGACCTTTTAGCAACAAATGATGGGAAATTGAATATTTGGAGCAAATACCATGTGTGTGGCTTTACTCTTCTTTTAGCTGCTAAGGTATCCAGGGTATTCTAGGCTAAATA